AAAAAAAAAAAAAAAAAGAGTGAGTTATTCTAAATAAAGTTGATTTAGCGAAAGTTTGAGTTTGTAGAATAAAATTATTTTAGCATAATTTTGAATTTGTAACTAAATAACCAGTACAATCTCGTGGCACGGGTAAAAGATATTCATTAATATTTATATAAATTAAAAGTGTTCATTAAATTATATTTATAAATTAAAAATATGATATTTATAAATTAAAAATATGAAATCAATATTAATAAAGTTTACCTATATTAACTTATTGAAAATGTTATATCAAATTCAAATTGTGTACAATTATATAAATAATGTCTATTTAAAATTAGTACACAAGTGCATGTAACTGATAATAAATTATATTATACTACCTCTTTTTTTGCCCTTAAAATGTCATTTTTTTCTTTATGAACAATTAACCAAATAAATGACGTTTTGGAATTTTTGTACATATTGTTCCATTATTATCCTCATCTAGCTAATAAATACATTACGTCTTTCATATTCACTCTTCATCTTTTCTCAAAATATCCATCTTCATCCGCATTATTGAGGGTTTTTTTTTCTCAACGACATAAGTGACTTCATTAAAAAAGCCAAAAGGCAATGTACAAGCCCGGATCTCGGGATAATGAGAGGTTACAAACGCAACAATGCAACCTAGACGAAATATAACTAGCAACGCTGGAATGACAACCACACAATGACATAAAAGCAAACTACAAACCACACCAAAAAAAAAAAAAAACAGAAAACACTCCCAACAGGAGAATACCCGAGTGTGATCCCAATAGGATAATAAAGTTACACTCGGGTCAACCAGGCCAACGGCCCAAACCTAAAACATGCGAACAAACACGAAACAAACAAGAACAAAAACAAAACACGAGAAAACAAAAATCGAACAGAAACGCACAACGGAGCCCTTCCCTAGTGAAACAAAGCGAGCCCAGCCAATAGTGAACGATCGACACAAGAAAGATACCGAGCCCGTGCAGTCGCTACTGAAACTGCAGAACGCCTAGCAGTAGGTAATTCCAAGTCCCAAACCAATTTAAAAATTGACCCGTCGCAAACCGAGAAAGCCACGACCAATCCCCACACCCCACACCTGTCCGCCCTCATCAAACACCACTAGACGAGGTCGATAGAGCCCGGTCCCCCACCATCTAACACCACTAGATAGACGAGGGAAGAAGGTCAAAGTGAACGGACCCTCAACCCAAGCCGCCGCGACAGACCCACCATAGCCACCCGAGTCTCACC